TCAGAATGAGTAAGGTCCTCCCCCGAGCAGTTTGTGAGTAATCTAGGTCACCAGTGCTCAGTCTGACTGAGCGGGCAGCCTCACCCGGGAGTGATTGTGGACTGCAGATCCTGGGTACCCAGCCCCAGAGATTCCGAATCATTAAATCCGGAGGCCTGGATTTTAAAGCGTTCCTCAGGAGACTGATAAGACTGGGCTTGGGAACACGTGCTGAGCCCCAGGTGTTCTGGAAGACACTCCTTATAGACAGCACTTCTGGTACGATGGCTCCCAGAGCTTTGTAGGATCTGCAGGATTCTCTGAAACCTTTCTGATGAGAAAAATCTGGGCATCTATAGTAAGCAGACAGATTTTAAAAGAACAAGAAAAAAAATTCTAATAAATCATGTATATATCCTAATTGACAAATATCAGACTGAAATTGCAGCAAACTACACCTCAAAAAAGTAACAAAAGCATTGATCATACAGGCTGTGATTATTAAAATTCAAAACTACCTAACTATACTTTTCTCAAAAATGATCTTTTTGGTTAAACTTTTCAATGAGCGACAGAATTACTCTGTTAAGAAAAATTCTAATGCCTCCAAATCAAGGAATTGCCAGTAATAGGAGATCTAGTGCTACTTTACAGTGTTTTGCTAAATCTGGTGTTCGTTACCAGCGACTGTGGAGCTTTATAAAAATAGTCCTGGGCTTGAGGCCCAAAGAGTTTGGAACCTTAAATGCTTTTTTTTTTTTTTTGGTACCGGGAATCTAACTCAGGACCTTGTGCTTGCAAGACAGGTGGTGGAACCACTGAGCTAAATAATCCCTGGACCCTGAAATGCATATTTTTAAAACTTCACAGATGATTACAATTCTCAGCAACAGTGGAGATTGTTGCAGTGACTCTGTAACTGCCTGGAGGTGGAAGAAAGGGTCAAAGTCTTAACAGCCAGTGCTGACCCTGGCTGGACCACGCGGAACTAAAACAGCCTGATCAGAAGCTCAGGTGGGCCTCAGGAAGTGACTGCCCTCACACTGTGACCTCTGCCACTGCTAATGATCAAAAGTTTGTAACTGCTCTTTTTTTTTTTTGAACAGAAATTCTTGTCATACATGAAATTCCAACTGATCCACCAAGAAATCCTGTCATGTTCCACCACCTACCTTGCAAGCATAAGGTCCCGAGTTCAATCCCTGGTACCTCAAAAAAATCCTATCACGTAAGGTTATATTATTATGGAAGTTATGATTTCCATTGAGGCAGGTTAGGAGAACTAAAAGGGGTGACAATCATCATCTAGTGAAACGTTTTTTACCTTTCAGATGGAAAGCAGAGATAAAATAAGAATTTGTCTAAGTCAAAGTTTGGAAAAACCCCAGAATTCCAGTCCCAATCTGGTGTTGTTTGCTGTCTGTCCTGCTGCTGGTCACAGATGAGGAAGCAGAGTCCCAGGGAGGGGGAGTGGCTGTGTGAGTGTGAGTGTGTGAGCCTGTGACAGTACTGTAAGTGTACACGTATATGAGTGAGAGTGTGTGTGTGTGTGTGTGTGAACACGTGTGCATAGAAGTGTGTGTGTGCCAAGGGTAGTGATGGGGCAAAGCAGCTACAACAAAGTGTTCTGGCTACTAATTCCCTTTTAATATGTTTTTTTTTTTGGTACCGAGGATCGAACTCAGGTCCTTGTGCTTGCAAGGGAGGTGGCAGCACCACTGAGCTAAATCCCCAGCCCTCCCTTTTAATATTTTTATATTTTAATGTTTTTATTTATTTTTTTGAGACAGGGTCTTGCTATGTAGTTTAGGCTGGCCCTGAGCTCACCATGGAGTCACAGAAATCCTGCTTCAGCCTCCCGAGTGCTGGGATTACAGGCGTGCACCACCATGCCTGGGGATTCCCTTTTTGTAAACCTCCCATGAGTTCAACACTGGATACTACATTATTTTTCAAGATATTAAACTTGTCTTTTCCTAGGTGCAGTACACAATGGTTAGGCAGTAATGTTGCTCCCCTAATTAGAGTTCCTGATGTTCAGGACACTTTCTCCTCAGCCTGCTCATTTAAGGCCGGCTGTCTAACTGTCACTCAGAGCTGCGGAGGCCCCCACCATAATGAACTTGAGACCCTCCAGCTGAGCCCTCTCATTCCGCCTCCTCCTCACCCTGGCAGAGGCCATGGCCGCGCGTCCAAGTCCTACTCTGAATGGGGAAATCCTCTGTGGAACCTTCCAGTACCTCCCCGGGCTTGGCAAAATGTCCTACATTCTCCTGCTAATTCCCAAGAATGCACACAGCCTCACAGGCACATACACACTCACACAGGCGCACAAACACACACTCTCAGACACACCGAGACACAGACTCACAGAGGCACACGAACAGGCACACAAGCACACAGCCGCACAGCCACACACAGACATTTACACACAGAAGTGCAGAAGCACTCACAGGCAGACCTACACAGGCACACTCACAGTGTCACACAGACACGCAGACACCTGAGTGCGTGCCTCACACAGACACAGGCACATGCACACCCATACACAAACGTGTACCCTCACACACACACAGTTTCTCTCCCAAGTCCTCATAGCGTCCTGTTTAAGATCCTATGTCACTGTATTTTATTATTTAAGGTATTTTTCTATAGTTCCTCTGCAAAAGAAAACAAGGATCCACCTTCCATAATGGCCCACACTCCGAGGTGCTTATCACGTATGTGTTGTGTGGAGAGAGGTTAAAGCACAAATCCTGCTTGTACTCTGCACTTCCTGGTGCAGAAGGAACAGGGTGATCAACTCCATGCCATTCTGGGAAACCACATGGGCAGTGTCAAGGGTAGATGAGGTGCCTTGAAAGGACATACAGTCTAGACCATGGCTCAGTCATGCTCTTATTGGCAGATAAGACTTTCCAGTGGGCTATCAATTACATCCTCTGATTACTCTATGAAAATGGGAAAAATCAGAGTCAGACAAATTTCCCCAGCCCTTTTCTCAGTAAGTCACATCTGCTGGGCCCGGCTTCCTTTACTGGGGGTCAGCGAGGAGCTGCGTGAGCAAAACTATGCCTCTGGAGTACCCTCAAGCAATCCAGACTCAACACCTGGGCTGCTGGAGGAGACTTGGGCATGGCCTTTGGCTGCAGGCATCACAGGGTTACTGTAACAGGAGCCTCAAGAGTTTGTATCTGAGAAACACTTGACACAATTAAAATGATCGAACTGAGACACCTTCCCCACGTACCGTACACACATTTGTGTATAAAATGTATCTAAGTAATTACATGATTTAATACACACAAATTTAGAAAATTGTCTGGTCAACAGTAAATGCTCAGTGGAATTTCATTAATATTATGATGGTTCTAATGAGACAAATATTAATGAGCAATTTAGCCTACTGTTCTTATTTCTTCTGCTACAATGACACATCTTGAGATCCATTTGGCCACCCCTATGTTGTAGAAGGAATTGAACTAAGCTAGTCCTTCCTTTTCTAAATCTGTGCCTTTTTACCTGGCACTAAATAATAAATATATTATGAAGCTAACGTCATAGCTGTGCATTCACAGCAATCCCACCCTTCACTCTCCACCAAGGTGAAAGACAGCGTGTTTGTAAGGATCTACTTGAAGCCCCTATGTTCTCTGCACTGCTATGGACCATATCCACATTTCGCTCTTAATTTGTCCCCCATGTTTGGTTCTTGACATCAGAGCACAGTGATAGGATATGGGAAGGAAGCGATTGTAATATATGCTGATGGGATAAGAATATCAGCCATGCACTGTACTCTACTGAGACAGCAGTGGCCCGGGGAATAGTTACGAAAGTGCAAAATAAACTAAACCTTTATGTTCCCTATCCAAGGTCCGCTTCAATCTTTGAAGAGAAAATAACTAAAGTTTCTTGTTGATGTGCCTGATCGGGGCGAGAAGCTCCTCCCTAGCACATGAAGAGAACTTGTCAGAGCTAGGCGTGAGAGGACAGAGGTGCGGGAAAGGGGACAGAGGGGTTACTTCCCTGACCTCCGCCACCATCACAGCGAACCCCACCCTGCTGACCGCAGCCCTTCCTCTCTGTTCATTCCCAATTGTTGTGGGGTCAAGGTTGTCTTTGAAAATCTGATGTGAGTATAAATTGTGAGTAACTCATCTCAGAAAAATGTACGTACACGCACATACACGGGCGCGGGCACACACACACACACATACACACATACACATACCCCTCTGCATATTGATTCGTGGTTTTTATGGATGTGTTCTCAGGAAGACTGTCTTTTACTGCATTGATTTTCAACATCTTCAGTAAACGAGTTTAAAGTTGAATATAGGGTTTTTTATCAGTTCATTTCCTTTTTAAAATAATTAATTCTTAAAATCCTAACTTGTAATCCTCCTACAAGATTTTATGGAGTTCACTTGTTTTGATTTATTGTTACTGGTATTTAAACAAAGAACCTTTGCAATTATTTCTGAAAAGCTTAATTTCTAGGGAATTTTTTATTTCTTTGTTGGTAAAGTATGTTGGGCATGGATGTTTTATCTTCTTAGAAATACTTTACTATAATTTTATGAGAAAAAAGAGATGGTATGTTATACCCATACTGGTTTATGTTAAATAAATAGTAATAACCTGCAAAATCTTGATAATAATTAAGACTCTGCTCCAAAGATATATTGTTTAAGAAGAAATAAATGTATACATGGACTTAGCTACAGTAATCACAGAGGAAAATTTTCCAAAATGTAAAGAGAAAGCCTTTTAAAATTCACCATTAATGGTTACACAAACAGCAATGATGATGAATGAGCTTATGAATTTCTATATCTATACTCTATATTTTAAAATCGGGACAGAAAATTTTCTAGACAGTCAACATGAGAATTTATTTTGAAAGATTTGGTAATTACTATAATAAAAGTTACTTTAAAGTCAGCTTTTATTTTTAGAGTCAACTCCTTAGACAAGTGTATTATATTCAAAATTTATCATCTTATTTTTTTCCTTTGAGACCAACCACCACAGACCAAGAACATCTGAGTTTATAATAATTTATTACAAGGTTACATATCACCTGCCGTGTATAATAAATTATAGAAACCATAGCATCTTTATAAACTGTATCAAATTCACTTTCTAATGCTTATTACAGTAACTGTAAGAAATATACTTAGATGATATCTTAACATTAGTCAGAAGATACAAAACTATAATTTTTTTTCACAGTACTTCAGACTTCTAAAGAACACCATTATTTTAGATTTGGGCAGTGGTTTGAAAATTATAAAGACCCCTTTACAATAAGCCAGGAGGTGGCGTTAGGTTTACTGAGCTGCAGAAGATAGCACAGTTCCTTCCATTTGCACTTAGCACCTATGTGGTGCACTGCAGGCCATGTAATAAGTGCAAATAAACAATCAACAACTGGTCCTTAAAAATCTACACCGACAGATAACACTGAGGCTTGACCCCAGTTTACATTCAGATAAAAATAATTCAGTAAACCATTTATGCTTAGAATTCCCTCTCTGTTCTCCCTCTCCCCTCTGCCTGCCTACCTGGTTTGGTTTTAAAAACAAAATAAGAACCAAAAGAAAAAAGAGGAGAAAGAAGCAGTTCTTTTGAGTGTGAGTTCCGGGGCCCGAGGGCAGCCCCACACGTGTGTCTTCCCAGCATCTGCAGTCTCGGGTCTCACAGCCGGCCAGCCTCAGCCACCAGCCCCAGTCCTGGCCGGCCGGGAGAGTTCTCAGATCCTTGATGAAACCATTTTGTTCACCACTGTGGCCACGTGGGGCTGAAGGCAGCCAGTCAGTTCTGCACCTGTCCACCTCGCCGTCCACCTCGGAGTTCTGACAGGACAGAAGCTTAGAAGGCAGCCACAGCACGCTGCCTCTCTCGGCACTGGGTCTTTCAGTGCTCGTTCTTGGAGGAAGTCCTCATCGGTGCTGTGGTCCTCAGTGAACTTTGATGGAATATTTCCTTAGCTTCAGGAACTGGAAAAGCTTGTCCTTCGTCCTCTTCTTCAGGGCCATCAGGGCTCGAGTTTTCTCCTCCAAATCTTGATCTATGGCAAAGATGATCTTGGCTCTCTCCTCTGCTTTCTTGTCTCCAGAGTTTTTGAAGAGCCTCTGTAGTGATTCTTGGTCTATATTCTCAAAGATGTTGCCCACAGCTTTCTTACGAGAGGCCGTGTCGAAGTGGTAGCCGTGGATGGACGGGCTAACTCGCAGCGACGTGGACATGACGGCTTGTTGGCTTCTCTTTGCTCTCATGGGTGTGGGGATCTCCCGGAATTCAGCTCCTGGCTCTCCAGAGAGTCTGTGGCAAAATCATTCCAGCACTGCTATTTAAAGTGTGAACAAAAGCTCCGGGCTCAGATTACACTGGTGACATCAGAGTGATCTCAAGGAAGAACAGTCACAGACAGCTTTAACAGTTGAGTTGCCAGTATTTTGTTCTTGGGTAAAACACTGCTGGAATCTGTCTTCAGTGATCACAGCCAGGGCTGTTGGTATTTCTTTTTACATCCTACCTAGCAAGAGGATTATGCAAAATTGAGCCCATTTAAAAAGAGTGAAAACCAGGTAAGTACAAAGATAAGATACCAACAAGGTAACTGATTCTTTCAAAACCTTTCCAAACAACAAATGAAACAAGGAGATCTGCCAACCTTGGATAAGCTTCAATTACCAAAGAAGCTGGGAAAGTGCAGTGCAAACATTTGACAGCTTACACTGTGCCCTTTGGACGTCCCCATCTTCTAACAGCAGAGCTACCGAGAGAAAGCTTCATGATCAAGCAAAGCAATCTGGAGTACGTTTGCTGATAGGGTCCCAGTTTGTGTACAAAATACTGACCCAGCACAGCCCAAAGCCAGGATTTCAGAGGCTGTTGGCAACAGCGTATCTGTAATCACTGAATAAAACTGCAGTTTAATTATAATACCAGTAGACAATATCTCCTTAGGTTTATATATATCTGAACAAGAGTAGGTACCCAAAAAAGGAGGGAGAGGAAGTTGATCAAGGGCTTTGTGTATATGATACCCAAAAGGAATGAGTGGATCTTTTGTTTTCTGGTTTATTTTGGAATTTGCCAGACTTAGGGAAATTCCTTTTTCAAAAGGATTTAAAGTTATTGGTACTGCCTTCCACAAGACACAGGCAGCCAGTGGTGCCTCTGACTATGGAGAGATCATGAGGTAAACATCAGCGTGGAGGGCCCCTGGTGCTCCTGTTCATGAACCCAGAGCCTGGTCCATCTTCTCCTCCGGACAGGTCTTTATTTTTCCCCTCCCTCCGGCACTGAAGTCAGATCTGGGACCACAAAGGGAGCCTGGGGTAGCAGCAGCCTCGCTAGGCTGCGGAGGGGGAGGAGACCCCACTTGTTCCTTCACGCCCCGTGCTCTCCTCTCTCGGTTACTCGGTCAGTGTCTATCACAGCTGTACTGCTTGTCCACACTTTTCCAGACAATGGAAATCTAGCCGGAAATCAAGCGAACCAAATAAAGGAAAACAAAGCAAAGGATCCCCAACTTTAACGAAAGCTAGGCCCTAGAGGGAAACAGACAATAGGAAAACGCCCGTGTATAACACCTATCCTGTCAGGGAAAGGAGGGGTAAACTGAGGCGCGGTTGAGTAAGAGTGGAGGGAGCGCTGAGGGTGTCCTAGGGCAGCCGGGGTAGCCAAGAGCTCTCTGGGTCAGCCAGGGACAGGGACGGCGTCCCTTCCTTCCACAGCGAGTGCCGGCATCTGTCGCAAAGGCACTTTAGGCAGAGGGCCCAGCAAAGCCGGGAGGCCGGAAGACAAGAGCGAGTGTGCAGCGCATCAAGAGTCGCCCGGGGACCGCAGGGAGAGTCAGAGCGGGGGGCCAGGCTGGGAAGCAGCAGGGAGCCAGGACCAGCGTGCGGGGCCTCGCGCAGGTCTTGAGTTTAGCTCTTATTTTCCGAGTTTGCCTCTAGGAAATTCAGACCAAAACTGGCTTGATTTCACTGATGGTTGACAGCAGGAGCTGCCATTTCGTAGTAGAGCAGGACCTGGAGAGGCAAGCGCGGTGGGGTGCGGGACGAAGAGTAGAAGAAGATTTCCAAAATGAGACAGGAAGGAGCGGCTCTGGGCTGAATCTCCGGCACTGCACAAAACCTGCACGCCATTTTGCGAGAATGAATCCAGTTCCGGCCCAGCTCCGAGCCTGTTTCTACCGACTCTTCTGAGGACAGGTCCGTGATGAGGAGGCGGCCCACGCGCGTGACCTGTCTTCGTTCTTTTCACGCCGCTCTCCCTTCCCTCTTCCCCTCTCTTAGTCCCCTTCCAGTTCTGGGCTACGGTGGCAGTAAAACCAGAGAATTACTGAAGACCGAAGGGAGGAATGAAAAGCGGAGAGGAGCCAGGTCTCGCCCAGCTGCCTTCACCTCACCGATGATGACAGCCGACGAGCGCCCCAGGTGCCCCACGGAAGGCCCTCTGTTCTGACTACGGGGTGCTGCCTTATATAGCATGGCTTTTCCATTTCTGTAAGACGGTGACTTTCATGCTAACGTGGATTCACTGGGTTTTTACTGTATACCAACACTATGACAAGAAATTTATGCAACTTATGATAGTTATCGTTGCTTCGGGCTCCGTTGATCACATGTTAGGCTCTTTTGTAGGTGATTCTTCTGTGAGCCTACACCTTGGATTAACTTTTACTCATTGTTCACTTCTAAATCCTGGTGCCCAGCAGAGACTTGGCTACTCAGGTATAGACTCATTTATTTAGCCAGCTCATCAGTACAACTGCATAAAGTGTATATTTTATATGGTACATGTTTCTATCCTGTTATAAAGTGCAAAAAGCTGGCTATTATTCTTGATGTGACTTATTTTTCCTGCCCCTATATATAAGTCTACCACACAGTTCTTACAGTACAGCTACAAAATATCTCTCTCTCGACCTTGTTCTCTTTCCATCCATTTTCATTATCACTGTCTGAGCCTGGCCTCTACCTGCAGGACTTTGGGATGCAGAACCCCAAACTCATTTTCTGAGACCCTTTCTGCTCAGTGGTCAGCCCCTCTGGAGAGCGCCATCCCTGAAGGATCCTGTCACAGGAGCTCCCTTCCTCCTCCTTAGAACAGCTGCCCACAGTGGATGATAAACACAAGGGTCAAAATCCCGGCTCTCCGCCTGTCCCCAACTCTGAGGCGCCATCTGTGCTTCGGGGCTCTCCCCCACCTGACACCACCACCTTCTTCCCACAGGTGTGGATCCCCAGGGAACTGGGTCGTCATCCCTCACCTGCCTGCTGATTTCCCCAGGGTTAGTGGCCTTCAGGGCCAGCCTGTGACGCTGTCCCTTCTCACCTGGACTAAGACGAAATCTCCTTCCTGGTATTCCTACCCAGAGTCCTCTACACAGACACCGAAGTAGCGTCCCACTGAGCCCTCAGAGCACTCCTGCATTACTCTTGGGATTAGCCCAGTGTCTTCACAGGACCTTTCTGCTGTGACCTCCGACGATATCTGAGCATCCCTCATCATCACTTCTTCCTTGAATACACCACCTTCTTACTGTGAGACTCGCACATATATTTTCCTTTTTCTGAAATGCTCCTCCGTACATTTTAATCTCGACTAAGCAATCCTACGTCACTTGTAAAATCTGAATTGAAAGCTACTTGCTCAGACAGGCTATCCTGAGTTTGCCAACATATTCTTTACTGTTCTCTACAACCCTAATTGTAGCTTGCAAGCACACATTTACTTTTTGTGATTACGCATTTAAATTCTCTTTCCATGCAGGGATGGGAATTACTTGTGCTATGAATGTGTCCAAAGCTCCTTGATGACTTAATATGGTGATTTTTATAGTAATGATGTGTAACAATATATGAGATTTTGTTTAATTCTTATAACAATTTATGGCAGAGGAATTATTGCAGACCTCATGTTAAATATAAGAGACCCAGGCACAATGGTACACTCCTATTGTCCTAGCTACTGGCAGAGAGGTAAAGTTAGGAGGATCACCTGAGCCCAGGAGTCACAGGACAGCCTGGGCAGTCCAGACTTCATCTCAGACAAAAAAAAAAAAAAAAAAAAAAAAAAAAAAAAAAAAAAAAAAAAAAAAAAAAAACAAAATATTCTACTTGTTTTATTAAG